TATATTATTACATAATGTCATAAATCAGGTTTTCTAATGCCTTGACACTACAAAAGCTATTATATATTTAAAATATATATTTTAAACTTTAATTTCTATCCATCCATTCACTCTCTAGACACACGGAATAAACCCCACCAGACTGAGAATATTGGTACTCTCTATATGCGATTACTGAGTATTCACATACAGATAAAATTTAAGGTTCTATTTTTCTGAAGTATATAGCCAAACAAAAAGTCATATGAGCCACAAGTAATAATATAATTGAAGTTTATAGTTAACAAGCTTTCAAATTTCAGGTTTTTTTTTTTAAATAGCAGACATAGGGAGCTATATCTTTATATTATACATAAAAAATGAAGGGCAAAACCCCACATAAATGCATGCCACATGTGAATAAATAAATTGATAACCAATCCCAGGGATATGCTCTTACCTTAAATGACAGGTGAATCTGATTTTTGATATTTTGAATAACAAAGGCCTCCACACCTGAGTGATTGCTTGTATTCAATAAACACCTTGAAAGCAGAAGTATAAGGCATTATACTAAACTGCAATGTAAGTAATATGTGATGAAAATTTTATAAATTCAGTTGGGACTTACATAATTTCTAGGAATTGAAAAATCCACAGTAAAGATGATTAGTAAGGTAACCAACCAGTTACAACAAAGTCATCCTTAACAGTTATTGTGTATTGCTTTCACTAACTCATAAATTTTATTTACAAACAGGTCTTTCAAAGAAGAAAATTAAAAAATTTTTTGCTGTGTGTGTGTGTGTGTGTGTGTGTGTGTATCGTATATGCACATGTGGGGATGTGTGCAGAGGCCAGGGGAGAACATTGCGTGTACTGTTCTCTCAGTCTCCTCTTTATTCCCCTGAGACAGGGTCGCTTAATGAACCTGAAGCTAGGCTGGCACAGCAATCTCCAGCAGTCCTCCTCTCTCTACTCCCACTCCAGTTACAGGTATGTGCAAGCATGCCCAACTTTTTATGTCATTTCTGGGGATTTGAACTCAGTTCCTCATGGTTGTGCAGCAAGTGCTTCTACTCACAAAGCCATCTCCTCAGCCTCAAACAAGAAACTTCTATTAAACTAAATGTGAATCTTTTAGTTGCATACAGTCACACTAATTTAACATGGCAAGAATGGGCACCAGTATAACCTAAAAGCTTCTAAAATTATTCCTTGTGAAAGTAGATGTTCTGGTTAGAGAGGCTTAATTGCAAAAGGAAACTTGACAGTTTTAATGGCTTAGAACTTAAATGTCCCCTAAAGTGCTGAAATACTGGCTCCCAGGGGACAGTGCTCCTGTGCAGTGGTGGCATCTTTAGGAAGCGGGCCTAGTAGAAGGAAGTTAGGTCATTAGGGGCATGGGCTTGAAGAGATGTGGGTACTCTAACCCCTTCCTCTCCACAGCCCTTTGCTTCCAGGCCACAGTGAGGTGATGCAGTTCCTCCCATACTACCCTGTTCTGCCTAACCACAAGCTCCAAAGCAAGAGTCAACCACACTTGGACTGAAACCCTGAGCACAAATAAATTTTTGCTGTTTTTGAGTTGATTTTCTCAAGTACTTTGTCACAGTAATAGAAAGCTACTAAGAAAGACTTAAGAAAAAGGGATCTCCTTGTAGAAATGCAAATAGAACAAAATAAGAAATCTAATAGAAGAGCTAAGCCCTGAGATTTCATAAACTAGATTTGACTCTACTAATAGAAATGAAGAAAAAGATGGGCTCAACAGTGCTAATATTGGGCAATCCCAAAAAAGACCTTTTAGCAATTTAGTACCGCTCAAATCAGTTTTTCACTCATTTTTCTTAGCTAAGAGCAGGGTATACAAGCTGAGGTCTGCAGGCTAAATTCAGCCTGCTGTCTGTCTATGTCAGTGTTTTCTTGGAACATCTCCTCCTCCTATTACAGTGTAGCAGTTGCAACAGAACTGTTATAAAACTTTATAAAGCCTCTATTTATTTTTAGCCTAAAGTTTTCTAATCTTTCACTTAAAACACTGCTAGAATCTTTGTTGGCTCAAAAAGATCTAAGAGTAACTGATAGTGCTTCATCTGCCAAAGTTATAAATCTCTGTAGAACTCTTAGTTTCCCCTTTAAATAATGGAGATCATTGAAATATGTAAATATGTAATTCAGGAGGATTATCAATCTCAGTTTAATCTTTTGAAAGTCTATTCTAAATTTACAATATTTCAATTAAACTGAAAAATAAGATACTGTTATCCACCTAATATATATGTATGTTTCCAAAATATTTGATAAGTCAATGCTCTACCTTTTACAGAGAAAATACTATACCTTGAAATACAGAACATTAATAGGTTTCAGCCAGCCACATACTTAGCCATTAGCTATGATATGCTCTGAAATGCCTCCCAAAAGCTCCCTCCACTACCCCTTCTTTGCCAGGAGCTCTGTCTCAGAACAGGCCTAAAGCAACAGAGTCAGAGAACCACACTGAAACCTCCACATTCTGAACCAAAATAAGCCCCTCCTCATTATGCTGCTTTCTCAGATATTCTGTCAGCGCAGGGAAAGGCGACTAGCTCACCACGCTTGATACATACCTAAATAATGTGTATTTGCCTTGTGAATCCAACTTGTCAATATACAGCTGAAGCATAGCTAAACCTTTTTTCCGCTAAAACAGAACAAATGATATTGTTGCACAAAACATAAAGAATAAAATATTTTATCAAAATTTCTCATTGTAACTCATTAGTCCCAGAAATCACACATACCAATGTCTCAATGGGGCAAAGTGTCATTATTTTGACTAACTCCTAGAGATAAAGAAAAAAAATTTTTTAATTCAGATGTAAATAGGTTATACTGACTTTAAAAAACAATTTCAATAGTGCATACTAAAATTTCACAGAAATGAGGCTAGAAGATGTATGAGGAAATTTACATTTCTGTGGGCCTTTCGCTATTACAGCGATGGGAAACTGCAATCAATTTTATATATAACACAAAATGAGATGTGACAGTGTGATTTATAAAATAAATGGGAATTTCTAATTATGTGTAGAATGGCAAGAAAATGAAATCAGATTTGCAGAAATGCAATGAATTCATTAAATACAGTCAAACTTGATGCAGTAACAAAAGCCATGCTTTTCTATTTAAATATTAAGAAATGTCTACAGCTAAGGACCTATTTGACTATCACCAGCAACAGAGAGCAGTAGGCAAACACAACACAGGAGGGAGAAACAGAAGGTGCATAGCCTTTCTGGCAACAAGTGCCTGGTCCAGATGGAGCCTGAGTGTCAGGACGCTCAGGAGAGGAGCAAAGAACCCTTCCCAAACAAAGTAAAGGAGAATGTGTCTCTTATAGGTTATACTGTCAACCCTGAAAGCAGCTAATAGCTATTTAGGTCTAAATGAATTCAAATTAAATTTAAAATGCAGTTCCTTAGTCACAGTAGCCACATATCAAGTAGCCAGTAATGCTCTGGCTTTTGTAATGGACAGAACACGTAATAGAACATTCCCATCACCACAAGTTCCACTGGATGGTGCTACAACAGATCAGAGGCTGAAGGAAAGCAGGAGATGATCTGGAGGCAGCTTTACCTCAGCAGAATTCAGAATAGGCAAGGAGCTGTTTTCAATATTAGAATATATATTCTATTTACCAGAGGTACTGTAAGAAAATTCTTGATTTCTAAGTACTGATAAAGTAGGTTGTTGTCTTCTAGTCTCAATAAACCATTCTCCAGAAGTTCCTGCAGTAAAATATATGCAAATACATGCAAGTTGAAGTCAAGAGCTACGTTTGTTAACTTGATTATTCAAATTACAGTGCTAGCAAACAGGTCAGTGAGACAGTCAGCAGGTAAAGGGGGTTGCCACCAAGTCTGACAATCTGAGTTTGATCTCTGGAACCCACTGTGGTGGTTTGAATGAAAATGTCCCCCGTAGGCTCCAAGTATTTGGATATTTTGTCCCCAGTTGGTGGCACTGTTTGGGGAGGTCTTAAAAGGTGTGGCTATCCTGGAGGAAGCACGTCACAGGGGGCAGGCTTAGAGTTCTTAAGCCTTGCCAGATCTCCAGTTGCTCTCTTGCTTCCTGTGCCTGCTTGATGATGTGAGAGCTTAACTTCTACTGCTCCTGCTCCAGCCACCTCCAGCCACCATGCCTCCCTGCCATGATGGATTGTAATTCCCCTGGAACCATAAGCTCAAATAAACTCTTCCTTCTATAAATTGTTTTGGTCCATGTTTCTATCACAGCAACAGAAAAGTAATGAGTATACCCACATAGTAGAGAAAGTCAACTTCTGATGATTGTCCTCTGACCTCCACACATGCACTATGGCATGTGCACATACATATACAAGCACATACAAACTCTCTCTCTCTGCCTCCATCCCCCCGCCTCAATAAATGTATAATAGTAGTGAACGAATATTACCAATCCTTTGGAGAAAGCAGACTCTTCTGTTCTGAAAGAAAACATTAAAATTTATCACTACGATTTTATAAAATTTTTAGAATAATTCCTTACTTTAGGATGAGCAAATAAAATTGAAATGCAAAGGTTTTAAAGGTACATAATTAGCTGGAGCAGTTGGTACACATCTGTAATACTAGCACTCAGAGGGCTGAAGCAAGAGGATCTCAAGTTAGAGGCCACACTGGAGCTTATGACAAGATCCTGTCTCAAAATTAATTAATTAGTTAAAATGCCTATCACTTAAGGAGAAATTCTGTTGAAGACCTAGTCAAAATTCTTTTTTGTTGCTCCATTTGACACAGAGTCTCATGTAGCCCAGGCTGGCCTTAAACTTGATTTGTAGCTAAAGATGAACTTATCTTCCTACTTCCACCTTCCAAGTGCTGGGATTATAGGCTTGTGCCACAGTGACCAGTTTAGTCAAAATTCTTAATCCCCTTTGATTTGTTTTGATTTGGCTACCACCATTCCAAGTCAGTCTACACAGAGCTTATTTCCTGGTTTCAAACCAACAGATCTTCAATAGCAAGTATTAAGAAATAAATTACGGGGCTAGCGAGATGGCTCAGCAGATAAGAGCACTTGTTGATCTTCCAGAGGATCCAAGTTAACTTCCTAATCCCCAGGTCTAGTGGCTCACAACTGCCTGTGACTCCAGCTCCAGGAGACCTGACACTTCCTTCTGGCTTCTGTAGACACCCAAACACATGTGACATACCCTCTCACAGACACATAAATAAAAATAAATTATATCTAAGAGTTTTATACATTTCAGTTGACTATGGTATAAAATCTTTATTTTTTATATAAAAAGAATGAAAAGATTTCCACATATAATACTTTAAAAATACTTATAATCATTAACTAAATATTTAAAGATATATGGCAAAAATATATGTATATGTACATATAGTCATATATACATAAATATATACACATACATACATGTATCTTTGACTAGGTTCCTGTTCTAACTATGGAAGGTGTGTTATATTTCTGGCTCAATGATGAACCGTTTTTAAATCTCAAAAATACTGGCTGTTCTTGCAGAGGACCCACATTCAGTTCCTAGGACCCACATGGTGGCTCCAGTTTCAGGAACTCTGAAGATCTCTTTTGACCTCCATGGGCATTGCATAACACAGGTGCAACTTACATACATGTAAGCAAAACATTCATCCACATACAATACAAATAAATAATCTTTAAAAATATATAGAATTGGGATTCAAACCAATATACATTCTTATGGTATGAATGAAAGAAACTACATAAAATGAATATAAAATTATCAAGACATCAAAGTTACAGTTAATCATTCTTTATACCAGGAGACCCCTGGAAGTGCCTGCCTTGTAGACTAAGCCTTCAGATATCTGCATGTTATAAATCTTCCTTCACCTGGGAAGAGATGGTACCACAAACTGTCACTAGTGTTCCTAGAAAATAGTATTGCAAACCCTTTTCTCTTCTTCCTTTCCTCCCTCCCTAAAACTCAAATGAGAAAACCTGTACTTGAACAAGTTTTTAAGATGAGAGGTCAAGGTACCTCCTTCCTTTTGATGCATTTCAGATTGTATCCATGAAGCATAAATGTACATGAACTTCTTCCCTCAGAGAGAGGAGGCTTCAGTGGGTATTATTTACTATTTTTTGAAATAAGGTTTAAAACCTCAGAAAAAGATTACTAGAAAACCACTTATTAAGAAAATAGGCCAACCAGCTGGGCATGGTAGTGCATGCACTTAATCCCAGCTCTCAGGAGGCAGAGGCAGGTGGATCTCTGTGAGTTCAAGGCCAGCCTGGTCTACATAGTGAGTTCCAGGCCAGCTGAGGCTACAGGGAGACCCTGTCTCCAAAAGAAAAGAAAAAGGGAAGAAAATAGGCCAAGCGTGATGGCATAGGCCATTAATCCTGGCACTTGGGAGGAAAAGGCAGGTTGATCCCTGTGAGATAGAGGTTAGCCTGGTCTACACAGTGAGTTCCAGGTCAACTGGGGCTACAGGAAGACCCTGTCTCAAAAAAAAATTTTTCCACGCAGACAGAAGGTAGTCTCTGATCTTGATAAGAACTTTTTAAAATAGTTTTGAGACAAGATTCCATGTAGCACAGGCTGGTCTTTAACTTGCTATATAGACAAGGATGACCTTGTGCTCATGATTCTCCTACCTCTACCTCCAGAGTGCTGGGATTAAAGGATTAAAGGCACTGGTCATCACCCCTACTTTATGCAGTACAGGGGATGGAACCTAGGGCTTTGTGCATGCTAGGTATCACTCTACCAACTGAGCTATCTCGTCAGTCCAAGAAGGACTATTCTAATCTACTATTTAATCCTGAGATATTCTCTAATGGTCTTACCTTTGCAAAAACACTTCAATATGCCCCATGTTCAACTGCAAAAGGTATGATGGACTAAAATAGAAGAGAAAAAAAGATATTTAGAATCAGCAATACCCCCAACCACCCCAATGATGGGGATGAAACCCAGAGCTTCACACATACTAGGCAAGCACTCTTATCACTGAGCTCTAGCCATAGCCCCTAGATATATATCTCACACATACACATTTAGAAGGTTTATACACATACTGTTTAAATTTGTTTTCCTCAAAAGAGGTATGTTGGAGTCACAGCCTCCAGAACTCAGAATGTTAATTAACTTGGAAATAAGGTTTTTACAGAGTTAATATAAAATGAGGTCTTTGGGGTATGCCCTAATCCAATACTTCATGGCCTATTAAAAAGGAAATTTATGCTTTTGCCTATTTTGGATTCTAAATGCCTCCTGTACTTGGATGTGCCTTTCTACAGATTTTAGAAAAATTCATTGAGTAATTCATTGCTATAATTTCATTGAATAGATCTTCTATACATTCATTACTATAATTTCATTGACTAGGTCTTCTATATATTTAGTTTGGATCTGAGCATCTTCATGTTTACTAGAAACTCTGTTTGGTCTCTTGATCAGGTCTCAGAGTTCTTAAAATTTGTGGTCATGGCTGCTTTTTGTTTTCCTCTTTATAGCCATCTGAATGCAATGATTCCCCAAACTCATATTCAACCCCTCATATTCTTTCTTCTGCCTGATCAAATTTATTGGTGATGCTTTCCACTGAGGTGTTTTTCTGTTGTTTTTTTAAGACTGTGTTTTTTCTTTCTTCCCACTTCTCTCTCTCCTTTCTTCCCTACCTTCCTTTCTTCCATCATCTCTCCCTGACTCTTTATTAGGTGTTGTGTAGCAATTTCCTCAGAGATAAAATACTACATCTTGGAGAGAAGTTCCTTGAATGATATTCTAAAGAGAAGTGAAAACATTCCATCCTGCAGGGAAGTTCATTAAAATTCAGGAAGTAAATAACTCAATAGCTTCAGTAAGTCCCTGAACTGACCAGATTCTCCCCAAGCTTATATAAGCAGTAAGGACTACTGAAAGACATTCTCAGACTAGCTGAGCTGTCTGGAAGAGGCAGAGACTAGCTGAGCTGCCAAAAAGACACTCTCCAGTCTGAACTGCCTTCAAGATGTGTACAACGTTCTAGGTTTCCAGCTTTCGTGAGCCACCACAAAGGGGTGGGCTTTAAGTGATGCAACTCTCTTTGGGTCATTTCTGTTCCTGTAAGTAATTCTTCACCCATACTCCTATAAATAACCCCAATAAAAATCACTGGTTCACCAAGTTAGGCTTTGCTCTATCATCAGTTCCCTATATGGAGTGATTAGACCTTTGAATAGTGTCCCACAACAGCTGTATTTCTCATCTAAGTTACTAAATTCCTCATTTGTCTTTTTAAAAATATTTTATTATTTTTATTTTTGTGTGTATGAATGTACTGTCTGCATGTATGTAAGTGTACCCATATTGTGCAATGCTCATAGAGGTCAGAAAAGGGTGTTGAATTCACAGGAACTAGAGTGACAGACAGTTATTAGTTGTCATGTGGGTGCTGGGAATTGAAACTTGGTCCTCTGCAAGAGCAGTCAGTGCTGTTAACTGCTGAGCCATATTTCCAGCCCCCTCCCCCCCTTTTTTTTTTTTAAAGACAAGGACTTGTTTAGCCCAGGTTGGCATCAAACTCACTATGTAGTTCAAGCTGGCTTCAAACCTATGATCACTTCGCCTGAGTGTCCTTCACTCCAAAGTGTCCTTCAAGTCTTCAGTTGACTTCCTTACTTCATCTATTTACCTGAATCCTCTTTGAAGTCATTGATCCTCTTAAGAACCAAGCTTTTTAATTCTTTGAAATTTCAATCATTTCACTGTCTTTGGATAATAAAGAGTGATGAACTTTGTGGGTCTTTACAATGAGTCACCTTTCTCTTGAAGGCTCAGTCACCACTAGCACTCAAAGGACAGAAAGTGGACCACAGTAACAATAACAAAAAACACGTATTTAATTATAGCAGAAAAAAATCATCTGGTCTCTGTCTAGTGTTTACTGTTGCACTCCCTCCTGTGCCCTTTCATACACCCATCTCTCCCTGCAGCCATGCATTTGATGTCTCTTTCAGACTGGTGGAGATACAGGAAAATGCTGGGCATCTCTTACCTTCCATCTTTCAGTGTATTAGTATGCTAATATACATGTACTAGACATTAAATGAGAGTCTTGATACATATAGAATATATGAATATACAAAATATTCTTACCTGAAGACCATTGGAAGCTGATCAATACTGATGCCCTGAACAAATACTAGATAGGCCAGAGAAGCCATAGAGTCTGCTAATTGTCTGTCTTCCTCTTCTTCAAATTCAAGAAAATCCCAAGTCCTTTTTTTCCTTCCATGATTAAGAATAATTTTGGGAAAAGGGTGTCCAATTGCTGATAAAAATCCCTGTGAAATGGGTTTAAAACAGGAAGATATTGGCTTACACAGCACAAAACATCCCCATCTCATTTCCACATTCTGTACAATCACTTCTCCTTGAAGGTTGTGTGCAACTTGTGGTACTTGCTTTTAAACAACAGAATGCAGATGTCACTCACATGAGTAGATTATCTTATATGCCAATAGTGAAGGCATTTTTGCTTAATTAAGGTCTCTAATCAGTTGATTTTGAGTTATTCAAGAGATTACCCTGGATTAGCCTGATCTATTCAGGAAGTTTTTTTTTTTTTTTTTGAGACAGGGTCTCCCTGTAGCCCCAGCTACCCTGGAACTCACTATGTAGACCAGGCTGGCCTTGAACTCACAGAGATCTGCCTGCCTCTGCCTCCTGGATTTTTTGTTTTATTTTTGATTTTTGCATGGTCTCGTTGTGTAGCCCAAACTGACCTTGCACTTGAAATCATCCTAAGCATTAAGTTTATTTATTATTTTTATTTTTTTAAATTTTTTGAGATAGGGTCTCTCACTATATAGCCCTGGCTTGCCTGGAACTTACTATGTAGACCACACTGGCCTTGAACTCACAAGATCCACCTGCCTCTGCCCCCTGAATGCTGGGATTAAAGGTATGGACTACCATGCCTCGGTCAAGTATAAGGTTTTTAAAGAGGGTCTAGACCTTCTTTCAGAGTCAGCAACTCTCCCTTGCTGGCTTTCAATAACTAAGCTATCATGTTATAAGAGGTCCATGGAGAATGCTGTGTGGCAAGGGAACTGTGACCTCAGGAAAGCAGAAGGAGCTCTTTTATGTCAGCTTCTGATGAGACTGCAGGCTTAGCTATCACGTACCTTGTAATTTAGTGAGACCCTGAGCAGAAGATCAAAGCTACCACTCAACTCCTGATACACAGCAATAAATAAATTAAAACAGGGCTGGAGAGATGGTTCAGCAGTTAAGCCCACTTGCTACTCTTGCAGAGGATTGGAGTTCAGTTCCTAGGACCCACATCAGGTGGCTCACAACGATCTGTAACTCCAGCTCCAGGGGATCCATCTGACTATTCCTTTTAGCCTCTACAGACATCCACAATTAATGTACATATACCCCCCCACACATACATACACTTGATTTAAAGTAAAATAAATCTTTTTTAAAAGCTAGTACAGGGGCTAGAGAGATGGCTCAGTGGTTAAGAGCCCTGGCTGCTCTTACAGAGGTCCCAGGATTGGTTCTCAGCATCTACATTGCAGCTAATAACCAACCACCTGTAACTCCAGTTCCAGGGGATCCAACACCCTCTTCTAACCTCTGTGGATACTGTACCCTTGGGTGCACGTATATAGATGTAGGCAAAACACTCATGCACATAAGTTAAAAATAAATAAAAATTAAAAAAAAAAACTAATAGAGAAACAATGGTGAAATCTTTTACATAAGCATGGGGTCTCATGTACATGAGTATTTATGTGGTTTCTAAATTAATTAAAAGGTACACACACAGTCAAATGATCTGACTACAAGATGGAGGGCTCTAGAGTAAGTTAAAAAATACCATTTCATCATGGAAAAAAAAAGTGCATCAGACATTGAGTAGTGGTTTCCAGGCAATGATGGGACAGGGGGATGAGAAGTCAGTGTTTAATGGGTAGTTTCAAGTGGGAAGACAGAAACACTGAGATGATGGTGATGACTGCGCAACAATGGACGCATATTTAATGCCACTAACTGTGTACTTAAAAATGCTTAAAATGGTAATTTTATGTTTTATATATATATTATATATGTATATATATATGTGTATGTTGTTTGTATGTGCAGCTGTGTTACACCCATGTGGAGGCCAGAGATCAATGTTAGGTTTCCTCCTCTACTGCTCTCATACTTTTGAGGCACTCTCTCACTGGACCTGGAGCTCATCATCTTGGCTAGGCCAGCTCACTAGCTGGCCCCCAGGATCTTCCTGTCTTGAGCCCCACCCCTACCCCCGAGGAGGCTGCAGACATGTACTGCCATATCTGGCTTTTACATGGATGCTGGGGATCCAGAGGGTCCTCATGCTGTACAGCAAGTGATTTCACCCCATGAGCATCTCCCCAACCCTCATGTTGTGTATATTTTATCAATTTTTGTTGTTTGTTTCGATAGCCCCAGGCTGGCCTAGAACTTATAATTCTCATGTATTTGGGATTATAAGTGTGTACCACCAAGTCTAGCTGACTGGAATTGGTTTTGAGTTTCTGGTTCTACTACTTACTCAATAACTCCGACACTGGGTAGCCTCAAATATGTAGCAGAGGGTAACTTTGAACTCCTAATCTGCCTGCTCCAAGTGCTGGGATTATAGGTGTGTATAACCACCAGTTTAGTCAGTCTTAATCTAGTTTGACATGTGTTTTGATTTGGCCACTGACATTCAAATCTGACCAAAGTTGTCTGCTGATAGCTTCTCTGGTATCCTATTTCTTGTCTATTTTTTCTCAGCTTATTCCTAAACTAACTCCAAGTTTGCCAGCCACACCAGAATCTACACCTTACTAGTTGCACCATCTTTTTACTGCCTCTCATTTAGTATTTCCGAACTTCTCTCTTTACCCCAGGGTTAAATTCCATTCTCCATCACCAGAGTAACTGCTTTCAGGGACTCCTCAATCCCCTCCCCTTCTCTTGCTTTGTAGAACTCATCTAGTTCCGAAGACCTCAAGTTCATTAGATCTCCCTTTCCTCCTGTGCTTCCCTTCCTGTGCTTCACCTTCCCGGGCTGAGCTGAACATGGCTAAAGAAAACCATAGCCACACTGTCTACACTCTTTTGAAGTTTATTCCTATCAACCCCAAGTAGACATTATTCTATATTTCAGATTATTTCTCTAACAGACAATCCTAGTACCTTAAAAAATACTTGTGCCTATAACGCCAAATTGTTTTAAAATAAAATTTGCTCATTTCTGGAGCTATTTGGAAAATATTTATTATGAGCATTAAAATGAGGAGTTTGACGCTGGTGAGATGCTGTCAGCCTGACAACCTGAGTTCAATCCCTGGGAGCTACATGGTAGAAGGAAAGAACCAAATCTTACAACTTGTCTTTTGGCCTCCACTGGTATATCGTGGCATATGCACACACACCCCCAATGAAAAATAAAATGTAATAAAAAATTTAATGAGTTTAGATGCTGGAGAAATGGTTCAGTGGTTAAAAGGACTTGCTGTACAATCATAAATACCAGAGAGTTTGAATCCCAACACCCATGTAACAAGCTAGATGACCCACAAATTCCTGTAACCTCAGCTCTAAAAGGGACAGAAGGATCACTGGGGCTTGCTGGCTTTGAGTCTGGCCAAGAAAATTTTGAGATCCAAGTTCAAGGAGAGACCATGGCTCAAAGGAGTAAGCAGAGAGTGACACAGGACATATCGTCTGCTTCTAGTCTCCACATGTGCACACAAAAATGCACCTACGCAAACACATGTTCATACACACAAAAAACTAACAAACTAAATCTTTCTAAAAATGAAGAATAGGGGAGGAGTGGAGAGATGGGTCAGTGGTTAAGAGCACTTACAGGTCTTCCATAGGACCCAGGTTTGGTTCCCAGCACCCACATAACAGTTAACACCCATTCTTAACTCCAGTTCCAGGGGATCCAATGCCCTCTTCTGGCTTCCTTGGCACCACATACACACATGGTGCACTCAGGGTTTATGCAGGCAAAAAACTCATACACATAAAATAAAAATTATTTTTTAAAAAATTAAGAATTTGGGGGCACAGATATCCTACTTATAGGAATTTCAAAGAAATGATTAAAGAACTAATAAAGGCTTTGTTAGACTTAGCAGTTTAAAAAAAGAAAGTTGGAGCTGTTTGAAAAATTGGTACAAATGAAATGTTGAATTACAAGTCCAGGTTAAATATATTATGTTAAGTCTACAACATGCAATACTATTAAATCTATGGGAATGTATTTATATTATAAGGTTAAGAAAAAAACCACACGTATATATGATATAATCTTTGAAAAGTTTATGTATTTATGCATACATTTCCTTATTTATTAAGCTCTATGTAAAAAAAAAGGTTGGAGGTGTTAACAGTGTTTGACTTTGGACAATGAAATTATTGTTATTTAATTTACATCCTGTTGCTCATCTGTGTTCTAAAAAGAACCCCAAATATTGCCTTATTAAGTTATCTATGTGCTCAAATGAAATATACAAGAATACAGCAGGATAAATACAAGATCATAGCAATTATGGCAGATTAGACTGGCTATACTTACTATTATTTCAGATGCAAAACACCTTAAAGGGTCATTTTCAACTTCTTCAGACTGTTCAAGGAATTGTGCTGTCAGCAAAGGGCATTTCAAGCTTTTGAAACAACTACGGCATAAGAAATAGGTAACTATGCAATCAACACTCCTAAAGCATAAAATATCTAGTTCCTCACATCTAATTTTACATGAAAAATAAGTACTGCTAGGACTTATTTGTTTACCTCTTCCCAAACTCAAACTGAAATTTGTCATTGTAACAGTATTAAAAAAAAGTGGAACCTCTGGAAGGTGATTAGTCCACTCTGATGAGGGCTACATTGTATAAAGGGATGCAGTCAGACGATTTATATCCCTCTACTCTTCCACCTTCCACTATGTTATGACACAAGGTCTTCATCAGGTGCTGGCACCTCGATCTTAAACTTCCCAGCCTCTAGAACTGTCAGTCAATATTTTTTTGTTCATTATAAATTTCCCAGTCTCAGGTATTCTATTATAGTAGCACAAATGAACTAAGGCAAGCACCACTGTCTATAAAAGTGGTGATGAGTTCTCTTTCTGACTAGTAACAGTAATGGAAAGAACATAAAAATGCCTTGCTAGACTCTCTATGCTGAGGTTCAGTTCTATGTCCGGACTGTTCTAGCTGATTCTGAATGTTTGTCTGAGGACCAGTGCTAATCCAAGACGTAGTTATCATTAGTTCAAGGAAAAATCAAGACAATGTAGTCATTTTTTTAATTAAACTTGATTCTAAGATTGTTTTCTATTTCTTTATGTTTTTTTTATGAAGTAATGGGTTTCATAAACGGTTAAAAAAAAAAAACTTTAAATGCCCTAACTTTACAAAAGAGAAAACAATAGCATTAGTCCCCAAAATTATAAAGAAAATTCAATAATAAAAGTTCAGCACTACCAAGAGAAACAGAATAGGAACTTCATATACAATTTAAGATTAGTCACATGAGAAAAATTGGGAGAAATGAATAATTTATTTAAATTAGTCCAATATAGCTGATATATTTTGATATATTCTAATATATAAAAATTGTTAAGGAATTTTACTGTTCTCCCCCCACCCCATTTTCTTTGAGACAGGATGTTATATAATCACGGCTGTGGCTTTGCACTTGAAATCCCCTGCCTCAGCTCCTAAGGGCTGGAATGACAGGCAAGCACCACCATACCCCACTTAAGGGATGCATGCCTGCCTGCCTTCCTTCCTTCCTTCTCCTCCTCTTTCCTTCCTTCCTTCTTTCCTTCCTTCCTTTTCCTTCCTTCCTTCCCCTTCCTTCCTTCTCCTTCCTTCCTTTTCCTTCTTTCCTTCCTTCCTTCTTCCTTCATTCTCCTTCCTTCCTTCCTTTTCCTTCCTTCCCCTTCCTTCCTTCCTTCCTTCCTTCTCCTTCCTTCTTTCTCCTTCCTTCCTTCGTTCTCCTTCCTTCCCCTTCCTTCCTTCCTTCCTCCTTCCTTCCCCTTCCTTCCTTCTCCTTTTCCTTCCTTTTCTTTTTCTTTCTTTCTCCTTCCTTCCCCTTCCTTTTCCTTCCTTCTTTCTTTCTTGCTCTCTCTCTCCTTCCTTCCTTCTCTCTCTCTCCTTCCTTCCTTCCCCTTCCTTTTCCTTCTTTCTTTCTTTCTTTCTTTCTTTCTTTCTTTCTTTCTTTCTTTCTTTCTTTCTCTCTCTCTCTCTCTCTCTCTTTCTTTCTTT